TTAAGCTACTCCTCTAAGTTGACCATTTTCTGACTTGATATTATTGAATGAGCTTTAGTTATCCTCCTGATTCTGACAGTGCTCCCTGCAGTTGTATTTAGAAAACCCAAAGAGTCTGGGCCTTTTAGTAACTTGGTTTAAATGTTACTTCTTATTCATCAACAACTTTAGCAACCTTTTTTTTTGTTATTTTTTTCCCCAGAGGTGCACGAAAGACAACCCACTAGTACATCTCTCATTCCAAGGATGCCTTATTTGTTCTGATTGAATATGTGCTGGGTTTGTTCTAGATGAGAACACATGAAAATCTACAAGCTGAGAGCTTACAGTCTCTGCACGTTTGCTGCTAATGTGCTTAATGTTATCTCTCAGACTTTAGATGGTAGTAGCTACCCATATTTGTTTTGATTGCCTCATATTCCCTGTTGATTAAATGATGGGGAGATGTTATTTCCATGTAAGAAAATGGCTATTTCTTCCCTTTACAATTCTAATTTGAAAAAAAAAAAAAAATTGAAAAAATTCTTCATTGTGCTGCACTGATGTCTCATGTTCTTTCTCCTTCAAGTTAATCTCTGTGCGAACAAATTTTTTTTAGAACGTGACAGTTCTTATCTAAAGGGAAGACATTCCTCCAGTGTTCAGTGATAGAGTACTGGTGTAAGTATTAATTTCAGAAAACGATGAGGAAAACGAACCACTTTTTAGTTGTAGTGATAACAGCCTTAATTTTTTTCCCTTGGATGGATTTCTGTAGTTGAGGAGAGCTGGGAAACTGATTTCTTATTGATTCCATGATTTTTTTCCCCAGCACTGCAAATTACCTTTTTGTTAAGATGAACTCTATACCCTCTCCTTTCTTACTGTTTCTTTGTCTTTTTCTCTTTGAAATGTTGTTAATTTCCCCTAAAGCAGGCCCAAGCACTAGTCTGTCATTGTCACTACCAGCAGATTATAATTTAAAACCACTTTTTCCTATTCCGCATGAAAAAGTGTATGTTCGGAGTACTTACTTATTAGAAGAAACACTGAAGGGCAAGGCTTAGTGTGAATTATGCCGCTTCGGGTAGTGCAGGGGTTTTGGCAAAGATTGCTTTAATTGCTTTTACCATCTTTTGACCTGTGATAGAGACTTACAAGTTAATATATTTGAAGAGTGCATATTTACAGATTGCCTTCGGTTCTACTCGTAAAAAATTTCTGCACTTTGCAGTGAACAATTACTATTACCAGTGCTGGCTCTTGGATTTATATCAGATGCGGGCGCTGTCATTTGACAACCTTAGGCAGAAGCTCTATTTAAGAGGAAATGTGTGATTCTGGCTTGTAGGTTGACTTAATGAAGGAGTTACAAGGTTTGGGATTTTATAGAATTGTTTCGTATTTTCAGAAGATTTGTCTTCTAAATCAAGCCGTTCTGTTACATCACGGAAATATTCTTATGACTGAAATTCACAGAAGTTGGGAAAATTGCTTTAGATACCTTGATGATATTTCAAATGTTGTGTGGGGAATATTGTAGTTTAAGAAGACTCCAGCATTTTCGGCTCTTTTTTTCTATATTTGTGTGGCAAATGCAATCTGTACAAAACACATGCCTTCTTTTGATGAAAATTTGTTTCCCAGGTTATCCTGAAAAGTGGAATAATTAATAACAAAACAAAAATATTCCATTCATGGGATGAAAATATGGTCTTCTTTGGGCTTTTTTTTTTTTGGAGTAGGAGAGGAAATATGCTTTCAACAGTAAACTCTTTCTGATTGCCAAGTACATGTAGGAACAGCTATTTATAGCCTTAGGTAATTGGAACAGAGAAGGAATTCTATTGTATTGCATTTGCTAGGTAGTAGGAATACAAATGCTGTCATCAACATGAAGAACAATAATGGCTTTAAATACAAAAATGAATGCTTTTATAAATAATAAAACATGCCAAAAAATCAACAGGAGAAATACAATTAAAATATTATGAGGGTGTAATTCATCCTGTATTATACAGGAAGAAATCTATGTAGCGATGCTTGACAGTGAATCTGTGATGTAGTACAGGATATCCGTGTGTTCAAGTTCTGTTCTGTCTTGTCAATTTTCAATATATATGTAAAATTTATAATTATTTTCATTTATTTTGGCATGATATTTTGTAGTAGTGAAACATGCCGGATGGCCAAGGATATATCACCTAGATACTAAATAAAGAAAACGTTTATTGAAGCCACAAGAGGTCTGTGATTCGGAAAGAAAATACTCAAGTAGTGTGGATTTAATCTAAAATGTAAAACATTCTGCCTTGGCCAACCTTATCTGAAACCTCCTGAAAGAGAAAGTTTTTAAATGCTATGTGACTAAGAGAAAATAATGTGTCAGACCTAATTCAAGAAAAGCTCTGAAACATAATTCAGCTGCCCCTGCCTAATTGCTACTTCAAGGGAATAGTGCACAGTAAACAAATGTTTTGAAATTTGAGTCTCTTACCTCTTAACAGAACAAGCCATTGAGAGCAGCTCTCTAAACCTATTCTATTTTTACAGCTTGCTGCTCACAAAGCTTATCTTTGTTTTAATGTAAATTCTTGGGTTTATAAATGTAAATATGGCAATAAAAATGGAAGAATTGATCTATTTAAGCAGATTATAATAATTACAGCACCACACGTTGATCTTTTTAATGCTAAGTGACAGGAGTCCCATGTGTAAACTCCAAACCAGATATCTTTCCATTCAAAGCTTATGTGAACTACCTCCAACAATATAATAGTGCAGGGCTTGATTTCCACAGTAGTCTGTTTATTAGCACACAAAATGGTGAGCCGTAATGAGTTGTCGGCAAAATTTTTCCAGAAGAGAAATGCTAATACTGGCAACACTTCAGTCTTAGTACAGCATTTACCTCCCAGAATTTTCCTCTTTTCTCCTGGCGATCTTGTTAAGGATCTTCCTATTTCAAGTTTACTTTGTTCCTTTGTCTTCAAGAAGTCATAGACATACCAAAACTTCACAGTTGTCTGTTCTCCCCTTTCCTGATCAACTTTTTAGTAAAATAGTTAACATAAATGTGAAGAATAGGACTCATTGCCTAATTCTGCAGTGATTTCTTCGTGGCAAACTTTTCCAAACATGTTAAAAGGTTAATTTCAGTCCTCTTCTTTGATTTGTTGTCACTACTGGGAGTGCATAGTTTGAATTTTTTGGGAGCCTGTCTTAGGGATGGCTGGTTCACAGTTGGGAGATTCTCTATAAGAGACCAAATGTCACATAAATCTTCTGAAACAGGGCAAATAAGATGTCTCAGACAGCTTCTGTTGATCAATGTCTGTATTGTTAACAGATGTCTGTGCATGGCATCAATAAGTAATAAAGTGCTTTTTTGTATTAATGGCCAGGAGGCAATGGTTTTGTGGGTTTAGTGTGTGGCTTATCAAGAAAAATCCATATCAGATGAGCAGAAAAAATGCTAAGGCTCTATTGTAATTTTTAGTTTCAGGACAGTGAATTACTGAAAGAGAGAACAATGCATTTCCTTTTCAAGTGGGAGTATTTATCTATGGATCTCTTCACAACCGGCAGTTGGAAGAATCCTCACTTCTTCCAGACCTATGAATAGGCTGCCATTCATTTGTGCTGGCAAATATTCATGGACACCCTTCTGCTTGTCGCTGCTGGGAACAATGATGTTCACTGTAGCAGGGCTGCAACATTATTGATGGGCAGATTGCCAGCTTTTCCATAACAGCAATTTTAAAGGACTGGAAAAAAAATGCTAAGAACTCTCTTAGCAAGTTGAGTTTCCTACCAGTTGTTTTGAGGTTGGCATTGGCTTCTACTGTTAGAAAGCTTTCCTTACCATGTCTGGAAAGCTGTCAGATCCAATCTCTGGAGATGTTTTCTGCTGGAGTTGGACAACCCATCATTTGTCATCCCTACCTGATTGATACCACTAGCTGGGTTTGTTTTCTCTCATCACTGAAAGATTCTTAATGGTTACTTTTCACAGGAAAGTGTTTGTGCTTCACTGAGACTTCATCCTTACGTTGCCAGGATTTGATATATGCTTGTTCAGGAAACAGCAGATGTAAGATGCCTGTTTTTAATTTTTCTGGATCCTTGTATCTTCAGTGTCTTTTCAGGAGGTCATCCTCACCTGGCAAAACTGGACAAGATACCCCTAAATATTGGGTATTAGAATTTCCTAGGAATTGGAACAAAGGAAGTGTTGTTTCTACTTCCCATGTGTTTAGCTCAGGTTTATTATTGGATGGAAGGATAATTTGGTGACAGTTCTCTTAATTTCTGTAGTTCATCCTCGTCTAGGAAAGTACAGCATCATTGTTGCTGGTTTTCATCTTAAAATTCAGTATATCTTGTAGCTGGTGTCAGTGGTTTGTTCAACTTGATATTTAAATCCAATGCTATTTTGGGAAGAGTGTTACTACAGTGTATACTTAAATAGTGTCGATAATGTGAGAAGAGTAAGAAATCCTTACTTTTAGTTTCTAAATGGATACTAGAGTCCCACAAGTTGAAGAGGATACAGAGGTCATCCAAAGAAGTAAAATCATAACTTTTACTAGTGTTATTTCTAGGGAATTCCTCCCATCTGTAGGCTACATAGAATATTGAAATTTTTTGTCCTGAAATAAATAAACTTTTTAAGTCAGTTGCACAGTATTTATTCCTGAGTTTCTCCCCAGATCCTTCTTGAAGATCCATAGCTCACTCATCTCAAATTCAAGTACACAGAGACTTGAAGCATTTGTACTGTCTCTGGCAGTGTTAACTGAAAGAATTTTTTCAAAGCACATTGCCAGTAGTTCAAAACAATTATAATCCTAGTCTTGGATGCGCACGGCCTCTTAAATGAAAGTAGTCTCTGTTAATGTCATTAAGATACTGCCATTTCATGGTGCACATGTCATATTTCAGGAGAGGGTTCCATATTTAGAACCAGGTTATGACTTTGTATCTGGAGTTAATATTACCTTTCTTTTGTATAATTTCAGGAGTATGATGACGGTTATGGAACTGCTTATGATGAGCAAAGCTACGATTCCTATGATAACAGCTATAGCACTCAAGCACAAAGGTGAGTCTCCAAATCTGCTGTAACTACATTTGAAAGGGTATACAGTTGGAAAGTTAGTTTTACTTAAAGAGTTTTTCAATTTCTTAAATAGCAAAAATGCTCTAAGACGCTTATTAGGAATAACCGGCAGTGTTATGTGTCTCTAGTATCACATGAGTATAAAAGTCAAGTTACTGAGTGTTTAAAAAGAAACAAAAATGAGAACTTGAAACAAAATTTTGGTTATGCTAGATCATAAATCACAAGGTCGGGAAATTCAGGAGAATTTAATTCAGATTCATTTGGAGGGGGAGCCAGGTGAAGAGAGAAGGAAAAGAACCCACTTTATAAAAGGTATTAAATCATCTGAAACACAGAGCTGATTGTATTTTCTTCTTAAACATGGTTGTATCCCAGTATTTTACCATTATTTGGCTGTGAAAAAGGATACCTTTTAGTTTTACTCTTTTGTGGAATTATTCTTGTGACAGATTTGAATCTCTTGCCATTTGTATTCCTTCCCTCGCTTCATTCCCAACAGTATTTTTAAGCACGTCCAATTTATTATCTTAAAATTTTGCTTTCTTAAAAGGAGTTACTATTTGGAAACTCCATGAATTATATGAATTACAAAATTACTCCAGGAATAGTAATGGATCTCAGTGGTGGAAAAAATACTGAGAACTACAAACCACTTGTGTTAGGTGATAGTTTGAATTTAGTGGCCAATATCATATGAAACATTATTTAGCAGCTTGACTGATCACACCCACTCTTAGGTACTCTTACTGTGCATTTCTGGAAAGGAAACTTCTATTTGTACCTTTTACTGAGTTGTAATTTATTCTCGTTCTTTTTCTCTTAGACCAAAAATTCATAGTTTGATATTTTGTAATGTCACAGAATCACAGAATGTTAGGGGTT